CTGCAGTCCAGTTCTTCAGTGGTCCAGTTATCTGCGCCTGTGAGCACCAGCCTCTATGGGATGTATTTATACTCTCTCTCTCTCTCTCTCTCTCTCTCTCTCTCTCTCTCTCTCTTCTCTCCTCTGTCTGTCTCTCGTCACTCCCCCTTTCAGAAATTCCTCCTCCATCCCGTTCCAGCATTCCAACAAACCCCACTCCGTAGAGATGAGAGGTCGGCACAGACACAGATAACATCCTGTAAACACTCCCCTGTGCACGGACACCATGCACCCTGGGAAAGCTTATTAAAAAAAGACTGTGTGTGTGTGTATGTGTGTATGTGTGTGTGTGTGACTGAGTGAGAGAGAGAGAGCGGGAGACAAAAGGAGGGAGACGGGGAGAGAAAAAAGGAGAGCAGTCACAGCAAAGCTGACCAAAGTGGCCCATCAGGACAAAAAGCTTCTTGTTGTGCCTCGAAACAGTTGCCATGGTTAGAGCTCTGGTTCCTCCAGCCTCTGTGAAGCTGTGTGTGCTTTAAATCCAACATTTGCCTCATGTATGATTACTTTTGTTATTTGAGATTATAGAATTTAAAAAAAAAATCACAGCTAGGAGTAAAAAACTTTAATAAAATCTGTTGTTTTTGAAAGTAAAACTAAAAAAAAAGATGTAAAACTTTGATTTTATTCCTGTTCAGTTCTTCAGTAAGTCAGAAGATGAACCCTCCTGCTGTCCTTGGGTCAAAAAGGAGGTCGTTTTGACCCAAGGACAGCAGGAGTGTTTAAAAACAATGTGATTCAACTTCTTTTTGTGTTTTCAAAAAAATATTTTACTTCTCATTTGAAGGGTTAACAGTGTGGAGTTTTAACTTGTAAACTGGACTGAGTTGAAGTTGAACTCACGTGCAAATCTTTCCCTTCACCTTTAAGTAATTACATGCAGAGGAATATAAAGAACATGGAAAAAATAACTAAAAGTAAAAATAATTTAACAGAAAATGACTTTGGTAAAAAATAAATTTCACTAATTTACTGAACATCTTAACTGTCTTTGTTCCACCGGTGGGCAAAAATGGTTCAGTTTCTGCCTTTAAACATTTCTAGATGCTACTGGGGGCTTTTATTTTGAAGACTAGGGGGTCAGACAACTTCCTTCAGTTCTTACCTTTAGTTTGGCCTTAAAAATGTCTGAAGGAGACAGACTTGGTTGAGTAAATTCAACACTTCAGTTTTTTAGAGCAGAAACAACTCGTCTCATGATGAGTTCAGACAGATTAAATTTTGTAGCAAGTAACTAGATGTTAAATTTTAAAGTAAAGAAGTGAAAAACATCAATTTTTGGATTTAAATGTAATGAAATTAAAGTAAAAGTAATGATTCAAAACAATATACATATCTTCAAACAAATTGCTGAAGTACGGTAACAAAGTAAATGTATAGTTACCATAAACCTCTGATTATACAGCTCCTGTTGCCTTCTTGTTGCAACTTTCAGAGTTTTGCAAAAAAAAAAAAGTTTCTTTGATGGCAAAACAAAACTTTAATTTAACAAGAAAATCAGTCAAGAGTCTCATTTTAGAACAATTTTTATTTGCAAATTTGTTTATTTTAATGACAGTTCCTGTATTTTTTTCCATTTAAAAACAAAAATGTAAGTCAGCTTCAAGCCAGGATTTAGAATAATTTAACAGGACTTCAGAAATACAGCAGGTAAAATAAGTATTGAACACGTCACCATTTTTCTCAGTAAATATATTACTAGAGGTGCTAATGACATGAAATTTTCAACAGATGTTGGTAAC